TCAGTAATTGAGGGTATCTGTTTAATAAATATTCACACATATCATAATGTCCATTTATGCATGCAGCGTGCAAAATAGATTGACCTGAATTATCTGCTTTATCTCCCTTTGGTATATTGTCACTTGATATATGTAATATATTTTCATTCTCAAAGAGGTTAAGCATATATTCAAACATATCTTTTTTACCACTAAACGCTGCCCATTGCAAAAGATTTTTTCCTCGAATATCTGTGTGTTCTTTGAGCAATGGAGGATATTTCTCAATAAGGTATTTGACCATGTTAAGCCTACCATCCTGACAAGCACAAGTAAGTACAGTGTGACCACTTAATCGATCTTTTTCTAATGGATCACAGCCAAACTCTAACAAAAGATTAAATGCATGTTTGTCCCCAGAACTTGCTGCAGACTGTAATACATTGGCGCCTTGGTCATTTTTTATATCTACAAGGAATGGATACTTTGATAGAACTTGTTCCATTAATTGTGTTTGTTGCATAAAGCAGATTTCAGGGAGTAAACTATGCCTTATATTTCTCCAGACTGGGTGTAAAGAAGATGAAATCTGGTGAAGATCAACAAGTTCACAAACTTGGAGCAATAACTCTATATTACCACTTTGTACAGCATTAAAACACGTTTGGAGATCACAATCCACATCTGATGACAAAATGAGATTAACAATATCGTGTTGATTTTTTGAGCAAGCGGCGTTAATTGATCTGTATCTTTGTCTTTTTTCTGAATTTGGAAGTAAATATTCAACCCATTGCTTATTTCCCACCCTCGAAAAATGCACAATCATTGAGTCACCGTTGGTATCACGGCATGTTTTAAAGTTCGAAGTGCATTCTTCAGATTGTAATACGTGCTCATGAAAGTTTGAATCATCCCATAATTCCAGTGATGATATGGAAGAAAACCCAATTACAGTCCTTTCTGCAACGACATTTGCAATGCGACGGGCAACATCCTTAAATAGCCTCTCTTCTATACAAACTTGTGTACTCTTTAGCTGTTTACATGTCGTTAGATTCAAAAGTAATGAAGGGTGACACATTCGAATCATTTTTCCAGGATCCAAATTAAACAAGACACTGAAAACTGATTCCTGTACTGAACTATGAGAAAATTTATAGGTATTTTCTATTACGTCATGCATAATTAGAAACCCTTCTAAACAATTAATACTGTCTTGGAAATCGTTAACGTATGAGCTTTGTAGACCTGCGAATTCTATAGAGGCATGTTTCATCTCTAAATCCAGATGAGACCTATCAATAAATTTAAAATCTACTTCTCCTCCACTCAGGAGAAGGTACACTAAAGCAGCACTTTTTGCAGTTCGACTTTTCATTAAAGTTTTTAAGTAGTCTTTCAAAAACAACATTGGATTGGGAAAAAAAGCGGAAACATTTTCTTTAAAAACTTCATTACTTCTTGCCAATTTACAACATTGTGGGAATCCTATAGATAATGGCTTTTCAAATACCTTATTGATAAGTTCTCTGTCTTCTATGTACTCAGAAAGCTGATATTTTTGTGATAGCTGTAGAATCTCGTCCTTAAGCAAAGCATTTTCCTTGCTTGATAGATCAACCACGGAAGACAGGAAGAAATCGCCATCGCACTCGTTTTGTACATATTCCCGATATATATCATTTCTTAGCGCAAATATCAATCTGTTTGATTTCTTATCTACGCCACTCTCAATCAACACTTGTATCATCTCCGTCATAGCTTTAAACTCCTGAATATCATAGCTGTTCAAAGAAAACTCTCCAAATAAATTGTCAAAAAATACCACTATACCATCACCCGGTGATATGTTACCATACAAGTCTGTTAACTTGTAAAGCTGAAGAGGAGAATTTCCTTCCTCCATCAATTCTTTCATTAACATCTTGGCATTTGTGGTTTTTCCAGTCCCGGGGTTTCCCTTGATGACGACATAACCGTTAATGTCCAACAGTTCCTTCGCTCTGTCAAATGCACGAGTTTTTATAAAGAAACTACTAACAGCTTCATTATGTTTTTGTATCATTTGTTTAGTTGTTCCTGAAAGGAAAAAAAAAAAACAGAGACTTAATGTTAATAAGATTTCTGAATTTGTTTACTTATTAATTTACTGTGACATGCCCAGTAGAGAGTGCATATTGGTATTGATACCTTAACTCCAAGGTGTTTGAGTTTCAAAGAGATATTAATAACTTCGGTCTACAGTTAAAAGATTCTGTATAATACAGAAAATCTATTACAGAAAACGGTAGTTCCATGTATCTTTTACTTACCATTTTAATAATATTACATTCATCTGAGAATCAATTTCTCAGAACTGAAATAACTGATTACTGATGAATGAATTTTCTTTAAGAATTTATCAAAAATAGATTTAAAGAAATAAACACACGGCATTTTTAATAAATGAATGAAAGGAACATTGAATAATAATTTCTTTCTTTACGTTGTTAAGTAACTAAGATCGTACTAAACCTTATCTACACTTTAAGACCTATCCTATAATGTTTACGTAAATGAAGCACCATTTACATATTGATTTTCTTGTCTCTTGTTACTAGGAAACATCCTGGATTTTTTTTAATGATTTCTATTGTATTTAAATATTTTCATACCAATTTTTCTTGCAAGTCTTGGATCTACAAAAACAAAACAATAAATACGTAAGTGAGTTTTAAAAGTCAGTTAGTTTGGATAATTAAAACACATTTTTGCAACGCATAATTCTTTTGAAACCTGAGCAAGGTTGTCGCTTTCTGCTATTACGAGGGTCATTCAAAAATACGTAGACAATGCTTCTCATCGTCATATGATTATTACAAGATTATAGATTGACACATTTTCGTAAACATAAACATTTATTTGTCGAAGTGTGAAGTTTCATTCCATTTGATTAAACAGAACTCACGTTAGCCAAAATTAAAAGCAACATGTTTTGTTACCACGGAGCACAATTAACCAATATTGTAACGTCAAAATCAACGCTGAGAAAATTTGTCAAAAGTATACACATTTTTGTTATTTCAAACACGGTTTGTTACGTCTTCTCCATTCGAAACACGTATCCACAATACTTAACACCTGGTTTGCTAACAATTGTACAAATATAGCTTGAATTAGAATGTTATTGTTTTTTAATTCTTTGATTTACAAAGCAACTTTATTATTTCTGCAACATTGAAGCAGACATCACGTTCAATGACGTTCCTAACTCTTTTGACAATATTTTTCACTTTAACCTGTGTCTTTGCAGACAATCCATTATCCGATTCCAACTTGCTACCACTCAAAAATTGTATTTTCAATCTAATACAAATACACATATTTTTTTTCATACTGATCATGATTAATAAGGATTTTTTAAGCTTGTAGAATTGCTACTTACTGCTCCGTGAGTCCTCCAACATCATGGTTTTTTGCCTTTTTTAATCAATTCCATATGTATTTATAAGCTGATATCTTTTAAATGGAACGAGATATTACATAACCTGATTTCATTTTAATTAATACAACAATACTTTATTTAAACAAGGAAATTTTATTTTGTTTCAGTTCAATTTATTAGAGGTATAGCTGTAAGTACTATAAAGTGAAAATAAAAAAAAAAATACTTAATTTTGACGGTGCTCCGTGACCCCATTTTTGCTGTTCCAAAACCTTGGTAATTTTAATAAATATGAGGATACATTCCAATATTTTTTACTCAAATTATTTGAATCTGTTGTTAAAATATTTGTACCAAATATGGATATAATATGACGCTAAATTAAAAAGTTAGGACAAAAGTCTACCAACTTTTTGAAGGACCCTCGTACATAACAACTTATGTCTCAAGCATTGCTTATGCGCCGTATAATATCAGTAATACTATTCATTGTATAAAAATTAACGCTATGGCAAGCAGGATTTCCTGTCATTTCACGGTCATCATGACATGAAACTGATACAAGATATTTACCATGAAGGACCAATTCCCTTTGTATTTTCTGCATATTACCTGAAAAAGAATAAAAGAACAGATAAAATTAATCATTGTAAACATGGTCTTTTAAAAAGAATTTCATTGTGACATGTTTGTTAAGCATCCTTAAAATTTATGTCTAAAATCTTTAAAAAGAATCCGTCAAATATTCTGAGTAAAATGATACAAAAATCTAAAAGTTATGTAAAAAGTAAAAGCTTATAATAACTTACTCGAAAGATTATCCACAGTTGAATGAAGTTCTCTGATATCTCCAAGTAAATCTATGTATTTCTTCTCTTGTTCTGGGTCCATGGAGCAGGTTTTTATCTCGTTGACTGCATCTTGGTAAACCGTGGATGTTCCTAGATGTCGCTCTAGCTCCACCACAATGTCCCGGATGTTTCTCCATTCGTGTCTAAATTCTGAATCGGATAGGGACAGATCAGCTGAATGTCCGTAATACTGGTTCCTAATGAGGCGAATTCTTTCAATGTTGGCTGCCACGCTTCTATCACCGGGATAAGGAATCTCTCCCCAACCATTAGAATGCGCTGCTATATTACTTACATTGCGTATAAGCATATACAATAACGATATGTCTAAGTCCGAATAATCGCCACTGTATTGATTCGTTGGTTTGGGGAAAATCATCTCTACTTGTGCTTTGTTGAATGGGTTTCGTTGTCCATATTTTAGACTCTTTGTGAATATCTTAACCGTTTTAGACAAATCAGATGGTAACACTTCTGTTTTTAGAATGTCACGTAAAACATCAGTACATGGTCCCAGTATAAGCCTCGCCAGTCGAGCTGTGTTTGTTGTTTCTGGTGTAGAGGTATGACACTTTGATAAAGACATTATGTCTTTTATCTCTCTTCCTCTGGTTAAAAAATGTTAAGAAAGGAATTTTAAATCTATTCATATTACTTAACCTTCGTTGTTATGAAGATATGAGAAAGAATGGGTGGACTTAACGCCCTATTTTGGATCTTTTTGAGACTACTCTAACAAGTTGAAAATAAAGTGAATCCAAAATATATTACAACCACTAGAAAGAGCGACGTTTACATGGTTATTTTAGCTAGAACATACGTACAAAAGCAATGCCTTATTGCATGAATCAAAATTGAAACAAGGATACATTAGTGTCATCTTCCGTCGTCTTCCGGAATTTGACATGTAACCGGAGTGGTTTTTAGGTCGTGCTATCAATATTAATAGGAGGCGGGGATATCTATCGGTGTCATTGTTGACATTTCTCTTTCTCTCTCCATCTCTCTCTCTAGAAATTCGAATACGTGTTTGGAATATTACAAGGATGTCATTATGATTTTTTTTAAACGTTAGCACACGCAAAATGAAAACAACATGCAATCATACTTGCATCAACACGACTATATTGTAATGATACTTGTATTAGCCCATTATGCATTGCGACTCATCCAAATGTTGCTAACGTAAACATATATCTTGTTTATCTTGTTTAATATGCAAATGTATGCTTTCGTCAGAAAATCTAATGCCTTCTTCCTGTTTAAATAATATACTTACAATTGCAAAAAAAAATATCATTAAAAATAAATTTAACAAACACTTTCATTGAAAGACTCGAGTATCCCCACATATAGAAACACTATAAATAGATTTAATTTTTTAACTTGTGTTATTGGAATGTTTTCGTTTCTGCGTGATGAAGCACACATTTACGATTTAATAAAAATGGAGAATTTAAAAATCCTTCAGTGGTGAAATAATAGTTACTAAAGATCAAACGAGTGTCCTAGAAACGCCTACCAACAAATCACCGAATTTTTTTTTTTCTTTTTCACTCTTTATAAAAACTGAATTTTGAAGGAACTCGAACTTTATATCTTAATGGAGATCCAATCCAACCTTTAAACTTATTTTTCGTTCAACATATTCGAGGAGTTGTGAAAAGAACACGGATCTTTTAGATAAATTGAAATCAATGTTTCCTTTTTATCTGCCAAAATAAATAGTATTCAAAAATTTTCAATTTTAAAACTGATGCAATCATTCTTTATAATAACATAAAAAAATATGCAAACGATAAAATAATAAAAAAAAATACCAACCTGCGTGGAAAGAATTGAGTAATTCAACCTTAGGTACAACTAGATAATTGATTTAACTTGTTCTATTTAAATGCATTCCCCTCTGCATGACTAAGCACATTGCACCATTAAAATCGACGATTTAAATCTCTCAGAAGTTAAAAAAAATAGAAGAATGATATGGAGTTATTATCTTAATTGTCTGTTTTTAAAAGTCATTTCTGTATAATAGAGAGGGTTACTGACAAAAACAAGTATCAATATAATATTTGCTTGCAAGGCTCATGAATGTCTGTGTTTACTCTGCTCCTAGTTTGTATTTATTTGTGGACATTTGATATTGAATTAAAAAAGATGCAAAAGTTCAACACTACGCTTCAATTGAGGATTTCTAAGTGGCGCAAAAGATACAAGTGCTACATGTATACATAATCATACAATATCAATTCTTTGTATTCATAGATTATTTGCATCAAATCATTACAGTTTTGGTGACAACATAGTGTTTAATCAGTACGACCTCAAAAGGACTGAAAAGACTGAAAAGAGAATATTTGATAAAGTGCATTCACTGCTAGATGTCCCTTATTTTAGAATAGTAGTCTAAATATTAAGACCTTCTCAAATATAAGACGTTAAATAACAAAAAAAATCAATAACTCTTTATTTTAAAATGAACAACCAATTGTTTTCAAATCTCTATCAGCATTTTCTCATGACATTTTTGGCAACAATGATCCAAAAGTTCAACAAAACAACTTTATTATAAAATATGATGTTTGTCAAAATTTAAAGTTGTGTTGTTGTTAACTTTAAAAGAGCTGCTAGAATTATGTTGTTGATGCAATTCAGAAAAAAAAATATTTTTGACAATATACGAGAATACAATTGTTGGCATTATTTGAAACTTAAATACGGAAAAACTGTTTTAATGATAGGACAGAACGATTCATTTCACTGCAAAGAAATATTGTTAAATGATACAATTGAATAATATTATGATAATTTAAGATTTTCTTAATTAAAATGTCGAAGAAAAACCGTTCATCAGGATTTATGGAGTTCGGCAAAGCGTAACATTTAAAACGAAATGCCGAACTTTAGGGAGTCAGTAAAGAATACTGCATTGTTGATTCTACACTTAAGTCTTTAAAGCCTGACGCTATTTTTAGACTTATCGGTGGAATTCAATCTCTAAATATTTGACTGGCACACGAATAGATTATTATCAACTGAATAAAAGCATGAACAAGTTTTAAAATGCTCTTTAATTTTTGCCCCCCGCTTTTCCAAATGCAAGGGGACATTGTATCTTATTCGTCGGTTGGTCTGTCACAAAAACCTTTAATCTTGCCCATAGCTTTTACCTGAGTAAAGTAATGACTTTTATATTTCTCATGTGTATTTCATGTGACAAGATCTTTCTTAAGGATCCTCAAGATTTAATCTTTTGACTTTGACCTTGGAGTTTGACCCACTTTTACAGAACAATATCAAACTTTTACTTTGGATGTAACTTTTGAACAGCCAAACTAGTACATTCATATTTCACGTATTATAAGACCTTCCATTGGATACCAACAAGTTTGATATTTTGACCAGGACCTTAGAGATTTCCATGAAAAAAGAACTTTAAACTTGGCAATAACTTTTAAACGGTAGAGGCTAGGGCTTTGAACTATAGCTAAGCATAACTAATTAACCATAACTAAGGCTAGAAGTAGGGCTTCTATACCTCACATATCTAAACTTTGTACCAAGACCATTAATTGGATATTGAGGTATTTGACCCTTTGACCTTGACATACAATCTGCATGATTATAATCACTGATTCCGCGTGCACCTTGTATACGATCAATTGTACCAAGGTTTGTATGAATGGAAAATTTTAAATGAAAATATAAAAAAACAAATGTGTTTTGATACAGTTAAAACAATAAATAACTGGCCTTTATTTAGATTGAAATTTGTATCTAGAAGAATAAATTTCTAAAGTTTTTCACTTATTTCACTTATATACATTTTTTGTTAGCAGGTTTATAATTAATCACTGTTCTCCATTGTATTTTTGAACGCATTTTCTTCTTTCGTTTGTTGTCTCTTCTTATTCTTTCTTTACTATCATTCGCAGTGAAATTCTTTAGAAATTAATTTGGTATACAAGCACCTAGTTGTACGGCGCCGCTGGAGGGCCAAGTAAAAAAAAAAAAAAATTTTCGGACAAATTCGAAATTCGTTCGGATAAATTAGATATTTGTTCGGACGAATTAGATATTTGTTCGGACGAATTAGATATTCGTTCGGACGAATCAGTTATTTGTTCGGACGAAATAGATATTCGTTCGGACAAATTAGAAATTTGTACGGACGAATTAGAAATTCGTTCGGACGAATTAGTTATTTGTTTGGACGAATTATATATTCGTTCAGACAAATTAGAAATTCGTTTCGACGAATTAGAAATTTGTTCGGACAAATAAGTTATTTGTACGGACGAATTAGGAATTCGTTCGGACGAATTCGTTAATTGTTCGGACAAATTAGAGAAATTGTGAACAACTATCAGGACACCGCGAATAATGTGCGGTTTGCACCGAGACGTTTTATTTCATTTTGATTCTTTGCAAAATATTTTTAATGAACAACATTATCAATAAATATTTTTAAGATAAGTCGTTTTAATGTTGATCTCTTTCTTATGATTTTTATGTACTGTACATATTCACTACCGTGCAGTTATTAATCACGACATGTGAATGATTTTTGAAATACATTTCTGATACATATGTCGCCGATTTGTAGCTGAAATATTGCCCATTCGGCGTAAAACATTCAATCAATCAATCTGGTAAATATGCGGTGTATAAAATGATTAAAAGGTCCTCATTGAATTTTTAATTGAATATTCCTGTTTATGAATTTAGAAAACTTCACAAAAATGAACCTTTTCGTATTGATCCCAGGTTGTTCATATGACTCGCGAGCCGGTGAATTACGAGGTCAACCGATCAATCTGGTATATTCCCTAGTCCATAAATTTTCAGAGCATAACTATAGCCCCCTTCCGTTATTGGACAGGTACATGCAGTCGAACAAACTATCTTATTTCACTTTCAGCATTTCTTAATTTTGTTTATACGCTTTTACAGTTGAGTACCAGTTCGAAGGTTTGATAGGCCAATGACTCACATAGAAAGGGGAATTACGAAAGCAACACCTTTTACGGTGAAAATAATAAGGCTGAAAACATTATTTATATAAGGCCTAAAATAAAATATTGTTTGCAGTTGCCGACCTATCCACTGAAAATGCACCCGACCTAAACTTTTTTTTAGCCATTTTGTAATATTTTTTTTCTCTCCAATTTTTCAGGATATTAAAACTGTTTCATTTTCATTTTTTTTTCTTTATCAATCATACCAAGAGTGCAGCTTATTCATGTAAAGTAGTCTTATGAAAAACTTTATTTTATGTTATCTAACAAAGATCTGGAAATATTTTTTTTTCAAAAAAAAAATTGCCTACTTACCTACTGAGACTAAAAATTATAGGTCAGCAACTGCAAATAAAGAATTTTTTAAGCTTGGCCTTATGTTATTTTTTTTCACTTATCATAAAGCATTAAATATAAAAAAGAGAAACATTAAATGCTGAAATCATATGTATCATGGTAATGGAAATTGATTATTGATATTGGTATATTAAAGGACATTGACAGATCTTTCAGATTTCTAAGTTATATTCAAGCATTATAATTCTGACATCATATGATATCATATAATAATTTTGTATGAATATTGCAGATTAAAGGTGATGTGAAGAAAAACCAGGAAACTGATGTTGAAAGAAGTACTTAATGGCCCTTATGAATGGACTTAAATCGTGAAAGACTGTTCCATTGTTTATCTAAGATATAATTTATTTAATATTTTGATATTGAAAAATTCAGTTACAGTTTTTGTACATCAAATGAATTATTAAACATATAAAATGGTAATGCTTTTTTCTTTTACATGTAATAAATTTTTTTGCTAGATTTTTAAAAGAATACACATTATTTCACATTGCTTCCTTTAGAAAAGTTAGGGAATCTTGAAGTTTTCCAGTAATTTCCACCAAGAATGGGACTCCAGATAATTCCACCAAGTTTCCGCCACATTGAAAGTGTAACACAAGTTCCATATAGTTTCCTGAGTCAAGGAAACTGCAGGAATCATAAGGTTTCGCGAGCCTTCATGTAGTTTCTCATAAAAGAAAACCTTACGATTCCATCAAGTTTCCATTCCACGGAAACCACTACGCTCTTATTCCATATGGTTTCCTGAGTCGAGGAAACTTTAGGAATCGTGAGGTTTCCCCAGCTTCCATGTAGTTTCCCGTATAAGGAAACCTAAAGATTCCATCAAGTTTCCATTCCACGGAAACCGCTACGCTCCGATTCCATATGGTTTCCTGAGTCATGGAAACTTTAGGAATCGTGAGGTTTCCCGATGTAGTCTCCCGTAAAAGGAAACCTAAAGATTCCACCAAGTTTCCATTCCACGGAAACCCCCTACGCTCCGATTCCATCAATTTTCCCGATTCTGGAAACCAGTGGAATCTTCAGGTTTCCCATTACGGGAAACTACATGGATGTACGGGAAACTTCAGTTTTACAGAGGTTTCCGTGGTTCGGGATACCTTATGGAATCCGAGCGTAGGGGGTTTCCATGTCACGGAAACTTTGCGGAATAACCTAGCATCCGCTACGGAAACAAGTTTACATGATGTAAACTTGAGGTTCCCATGTAGTTTCCCTTAAGTTTACCATGATGGGAAACCACTTTTTTCAACCAGTGTATAAATATTACATTCATCTACGATACATCAACATAATCTATAAATATTACAATCATTTACGATACATCAACATAATCTATAAATATTACAATCATTTACGATACATCAGCATAATCTATAAATATTACAATCATTTACGATACATCAACATAATCTATAAATATTACAATCATTTACGATACAGCAACATAATCTATAAATATTACAATCATT